GCCTGCAGCATTATCATATGCATGGAATAAGAGCAGTTCTAAATAATTAAGTACAATAAAGTAATGTTTATATTTACTGTTACATCAGTTCAATTCAATTCAATTCAATTTTATTTATCAGTCAATTATGCACTACTTTGACGGGCACTGCACAACTTTTCAGACGAACTCGACAACTTCACTCGCAAGATATTGGCATGAAGAAGAATTAATCAAGTGATCTTTATAGATATATGCTGTAAATAATATATTCATATAAAAGAAAGGTATTCTCAGTGATTACAAGCCCTCTATTTTGCTTTAAAAAGTTGTAAGAAAAAACTTAATGCTCAGTTAATAAATAAGTAAATAAAATGATAATAAATTTATGAAAAATGGCTGCAGAGCAGGTAAAAAACCCTTTTTTGTCACACCTCCATCGGCAAAACCAGAAGAATTAAAAAGCATGTTAAGTCATAATTTGGAGAGTATTTGTATTCGTATTAAATAAACAAATTAATATTTAATGATTAAAACTAAACCCTGTGTGAACTTCACACGCACAGAGACTAAAACTTCATATTACAAGCACCAAGTCATATTAAATTACAAAATATTATTGCGTCACTGCCATTAGATTGTGGCTGACCCAGGATCAGTTTTTCCAACACCCTGCTGGTTCACCAGGTGTGGTGATGCTAAAGTGTTATGTAAGTGCTTAATCACAATGACACAGAAATATCTGGTAGTCAATTTACAATAATTAGAATAAACGATGTCCTCATTCTTGTCTAGTGTGTGATAGTAAAACACCACAAAGCTGCCAGATGGAGCGATTACAGGTGCGTTTGTTTGCTGTGTTCAAATTAGCATTACGTTAGCAGGTAGTAAGGAGTCTGTTCAACACCCAGCTCCTGCTAGACCGCACCAACATCTGCATCACTGCATAAAGCTTTTTCATTAAAACAATACATACATGGATATGTATAAATATAAAGGACAACTTGATGTGCATGAATAGATTTGTAAGGTCTGCGTAATTTTACCTTTGAGCTGTAAAAGTTGCCAGTGCTGCCAGTATTTTTTAAATGTATATTTGCAGCTTTTTTGAGTTTCTTCTAAGTTGGGCGGGTTTAATGGAACTTGAATATGTTCTTCCATCAGCGCAAGGTCCAGTTCAGTGACGTCAGGGTCAAATAGGCTCAGCAGGCAACTAAAGGATTGACAGAGAGTATTTGGAAAAGTGTGACCTGTGAGTGATGATCCTGCAGAACAGGCAGATTTCTTTGTAGGATGATGAAAACAAAAGCATCACACACAATTCCTGCTATACTTATAAAATGCTCGTGTCTTGTTTTGAGTAAGTATTTTCTAACAAGAGTCAAATTTAAGCATTAAATCCCATCTAAGAAACAAGAGACTCTATGTTGTTGTTTTGCTAATTATGCACTCTGTATCCTCAATCAGTGCATCAAAAAACAGCACATACTGCTACTCATGTCTGCACCATGTCAGCATCCAGTTTTGTCCTGAAAAATTATGCTATTATGGTTCTCCGTACTGCTTGCAGTTCTGTGCTTGAGATTCAAATGGATGACTGCTTCCAAGCAGGCTAATCGCAGTGGCACATCTATCGATGGGGGCCAATCCCATTAAGCTGTAGAAGGTGTAGCCCTGCTTTGTGCTCAGTACCTTCATCTCTGATCTGTTGACGAGATTACTCGCAGAGCCTCAGATCAACCTGAGAGTAGGAGTGTGCTATGTTACATCACAGTCCAGAAAGGGTGAAATATAATGCAGCTTTGCCTCTCTTTAATTTGCCTGACTGAAACTTTGCCAACATAACAGTTGCAGATCATTTTATTATTATTTTATGGCATAGATTCTGAAGTTCTGATTCTTCTTGGTAAATCTTCAGCTTTGGATTGCAGAGCTCCAAACACAATCAAACTTGCTAAATAAGCAGGCAACTAACAGGATCAGAGACCTCTGTGAAATTGGCCATGTGCTTTTAAAACCTTGGAAAAATCCGATCTCTCTTCTGATAGGAACACACTAGCATTTCATTTGTAATGAATCGTCTTTACTCTCCTGAGTGTGAAATCCTCAGCAGGATCCATTACAGGAGGTTCCACCCACTGATGAGCTCATGAGGTTGAGTCTACAGGCTTTCTCACAAGCCTGCAAGAAAAATAAGTGAACTCCCACTCATGACACTGGGAACCGTGTCATGATGCACAAGATGGTATAGTAATCCTCACTGATGAGCAATTATGCAGCAAGCTTGATCTCTATAGAAATTGTATTAATTTATCTTTTAAGTGTGCTCTATGATATTTTACATAGAGAGATTTTTTTGCAAACTTGCATGTATAAATAAGGAATGTCATCTCCTAACTATCCCACACACACACACACACACACACACACACACACACACACACACACACACACACACACACACACACACACACA